CCTCTTCCTCCTCACTCTCCTCCTCCTCCTGCTCATCATCATCCCCCTCCTCCTTCTCCTTGGGGGGGCGCCTCCCCCTGAGGATTCGTGTAGGCCTTTGTGGGACTATGCCCCTCCCCTTCCCAGGGGGTCACAGTCCATGGATGGGGTCGTAGCCTGGTGGGTGCATGTTTCCAGTGCCTTATATGCGCCGAGGGCGAGAGGCTATCGCTTGTTTTGTGGATGGCCTGTGGAGCCTCACTTGTGTCTTGCGAGCGTCTGTCGTTTTCTAGTGTGGCATCTGGTGCCATATTTGTTGTTTAGCTTCCTTCCTCTCGGCCCCGTGTGCATGAGGTGAGAATGAGCCCGCTGCAAGGGCGGCTTCGACTGTTGAGCCCACATGAGTTCTGAGCTCACCCGGCAGACAGGGCTTGACCTTTCGTGGACAGCCGAACCGAACGTTCTTGGAGGCAGGCGGAGGTCCTCGCAAGGTCCTGGAGACCCCCGCACGCCCCCAGAAGTCCCCGAAAGCTTCTGGAGGTGTCCAGAGACGCCAGAAACACTTACAGTACAGCGTCGAAGACGGGTTCTTCTTCCTTCACCTCCTCCTCCTCTTCCTTTTCTTTTTGGCACACTGCCGCTCATGTCTTGCGATCTCACGACTCAGACCACGTGTGAGCTGTTGTTGGCGAGCAGGACTACATGAGCCCCATGTGCTTACATCCCTCGTCCCCATCATCCCCCTCCTGCGGGCGCCATCGGCGGCAACGGAGCGCAGGCGATGGTGCTGGCGCTCCTGGGCGCGGTGCTGTCGCGCTTCCTGAGGACCCCAGAGGTGGCCCCATCCTGGGGCGACCGGAGGGCCGGCGGCGCGCCCACGGGGGGACGCGAGAGTGGCCCGGCCTTCTCAGAGGGCCGCGGGACTTCTCAAAAGCCTCCAGGCCTTCTGAAAAGTTTGCTGTGTCCTCGGGGAAGGGTGAGAACACTTCTCAGGAGGCCTGAGGCCTTCTGAGAGGGCATGCCCCCAGGGCTCGCCTCCTTTAGGGAGCCGGACGTCGCGCCTGGGGTTTCTTTTTCGGTTTCGGTGTTCAGGGACCCGTTTCGGGCCCCTCCGTCGGAGATCCAAACGGGACGGACAATTTGCTCGGATGGAGCCCGGGAGGGGTCTGACGGGAGGAGGAGGAGGAGGAGGAGGAGGAGGAGGAGGAGGAGGCGTAGAGCAAGGATGGTAGAGGAGAGGAGAGGAGAGGAGAGGAGAGGAGGTAGGGGAACGAGGGGAAAACGAGGTGATGGCGGCATGACGGGCAGACGGCGTGGTTACGGGGGGCGGCCCCACGACGTGGCTACCTAGTCGACAGCGCCGAGCTGAGACCCTCGCCCTCGGCCCTGCCGCCGCCCGCCCGCAGGCGGCAGGCGGCTTGCGAAGGCGCCCTGCGGGCGCAGGCGTCGGGAGGCGGCCCAGGAAGCTGGCAGGACATGGAGCGGGCAGCCAGGCCCGCCCTTCGCCTCGCTGCTGTGGGGCTGAGGGTCTGTGGGCGCGCCCGCAGTCGCCGCAACGCGGCGTGGCACGCTGCGGACCCGCCTCCACAGGGCTTCGGGGCGGCGTCGGATGACGAGATCACCGCCGCTGCGTCGGGGCCCAGGCTGGGAGCTGGTGCTCGGCCGATCCTGGAGGAATCCAAGGGGCAGAACGTCTGGGTGGACTTGTCGTGCCAGCCTGGGTGGCCTCCGCTCGGCGGCTTTGCCTTGGCCCCAGGCGTGGGAGCTGCCACCGGTTGGCCCTGCTGCGGGGGCCCAGGTTTTTCGCGATTGCCTGGCTGCGGGGATGCACCTTTCCCGCCCGAGGCACTTCTCGATGGCGCTGAGGTGGACGAGGAAGCCTTCGTCGACGAAGATGGCAAGATGCAGGAGAGCAGTCCTGCAGTCGTCGCGCCGTGCACGGAGGACCCTTCCAGTGGAAAGAGCGCGTGCTGTGGGCGCTTGGAGGGGGGTGGCGTCCTGAACCGCCCCCACCCCCCCGTGCCTGCGCCAGCGCCAGCGGCGGATGTCGGCGGCGGCGGGGAGCGTCGACGACGACGACGACGATTCTACAGGCTTACGCCACATCCGCCGACCCCTTCTGTGAGTGTTGCGAGGCCAGGAGTTTCTGGCCAGCGGCGTCTTGTGTGAGGGTGCGGTGTCGCGCGCGGGTGGCGGCAGATACGTAGGGGGTCCAAATGTTTGCGTGATGCCGGTGGTCTGGGGCGTTTTTTTGCGGGCGCCTTGCGTGCTGTGCACTTGGGTGCGGGGTGTTCTTCTGGGAGGTCGGCCTTTCGGTCTTCGGCGCGTCTTGAGCCGTCTTGGGGCCCTCTTGGGCTGTCTTGGGGTCTTGGAGGTTTCTTGGACCGTCTTGGGGCGGTCTTGGGGGCCTCTTGGGCCGTCTGGGAGTGTCGGAAAGCCCAGAAGGCGAATGTGTGAAAATTGTACGTTTTACAAAGGGAACGGGCCAATTTTTGCGTCTAGAGGCCCTGTTGGGACGCATCTTGAATGCCTCGTGGGGGCATTTTGGGCCGTCTGGAGGCCATCTTCGGTATTTTTGATCGTTCTTGGACCGTCTGGGACCATGTTGAGCTCTCTTGGAAGGCACTTGGGGCGCTCCTGGAGCGCTCTTGGGGCCGTCTTCGGGGCCCTCGTGGGCCGTCTTGGACGCCTGTTGGGCCGTTTGGGGGCCTTCTTGGGCTATCTTGGGACCCTCTTGGAGGCTTCTTGGACCGTCTTGGGGCGGTATTGGGGGCCTCTTGGGCCGTCTGGGAGCATCGGAAAGCCCACAAGGCGAATGTGTGAAAATTGTACGTTTTACGAAGGGAATGGGCAATTTTTGTGTCTAGGGACTCTCTTGGGACGCATCTTGGAGGCCTCTTGGGGCCTCGTGGGGACCTTTTGGGCCGTCTAGGAGGCCTATGAGCCCGTCTTTGGGCAATCTTGGGCGTCTTGGAGCGCTCGTTTGGCGTCTCGGGGCCCTCGTGGCCCGTCTTGGAGGCCTCTTGGGGCCTTCTTGGCCCGTCTTTAGGCCCTCTTGGGCCCGGAAAAGCCCCGTGACGCGCTCACCCGGGGCGAGGGGGGGGGGGGGGTCAAATCTCTGGTTTGGGGTCCCTGGGGAGTGGGTATGGGGGGGGGAACTATCTCACACGCCTAGAGACCCACAAGGGGTCGGCGGATTCAACGGGGGGGAGGGGAGTTCGAATCCCCCCATCCATCCGGGCCGGCGCAGGCGCCGGCGCCGGCTGGCGGCGGCGGCGGCGCCACCGACGACGTGCAAGACGACCCCACGACGGCGAACAGGACGACGACGACGACGACGACGACGACGACGACGACGACGACGACGACGACTCGACGACGACGACGGTGGCTACGACGGTGACGACGACGACGACGGCGACGACGGCGAAGACGACGACCACGACGATGACGACGACGACGGCGACGACGACGACTACGAAAGCGACGACGACGACGGCGACGACGACGACGGCAACGACGGCGAAAACGACGCCGGCGACGATGACGACGACGACGACGACGGCGACGTCAACGACGACGAGGACGACGACGACGACGACGACGACAGTGACGCCGACGACGACGACGACCACGGCCACGACGATAACGACGACGACGACGACGACGACGATGACAGCGACCAAGACGACTTCGAGCATGACGACGACAACTACGACGACGACCACGACGACGATGACGATGACGATGACGGCGACGACTGCGACGGCGACGACGACGACGATTGCGACGGCGACGACGGCGACGACGACGACAAGGACGGCGACCACGACGATTTTGAGTATGACGATGACACAACTAGGACGACGACGACGACGTCGACGACGACGACGACGACGACCAGGGCGACGACGACGACGACGCGACGACGACAACGTCGACAACGACGACGGCGACGACGACGACGACCACGACGACGACGACGACGACGACGACGACGACGACGACCACGACGACGACGACGACGACAACGGAAAGCGCGGGAGGCACGCGACGCCACGCGGAAACTGCTTATATTTGAAGTCCGGGCCCGTCAATTTTCTGACTCTCGGGGCCGAGGACAGAGGACTACATGGGACCTGATCGTCGTTGTCGCCTTCATCCTGTTCATTGTCGCCGCGTCGCCGCCGTCGGCGCTGCCAGCCGGCGCCAGCGCCCTGGGGGTTCGACCCCCCCTTCTCGCGCCCGGGAGGGGGGTCGAACCCTCCCTCCCTCCGCTGGAGGGGGGGGGGGGAAGGGGGGGATGGGGAAGAAGGGTCTCCCTGGTTCTGTTCGACGGCGCCGAATGGTCGGGGGAGGGGGGAGGCCGTTCGGTTCAAACGCGCCGTTGAATGTTCCCAAGGCGAGCGCCCATGAAACGCGCTCCCTCTTCCATTGAGGACGCGTTCGGCTTCGTCGGGAAGGATCCCGTGACCACCGAGAGCAGCGAGGCCCAATCGTTTGAGGAGGTGATTCCTGTTGCAGGCGTGGCTGTTGCAGCTGCGGGGTGCAGCGAGGCCGCGGGGCCTGTGCGGGAGATCGCTGCACTTCGCGACGGCGAGCCGCTCTTGGAGGCATGCCGCTGCGCGTGGGTGCCTGTGGAGATACCGCCTGAACCTGGGGAAGGCAGACTTTTCGATTGAGGTTTCGTCGTTGATGTGCTGTTGTGGTTCGCTTTCTTTCTGGCGCATCGGGTTTCCGAGCCTGCGGATTCGCGATTGCGTGAAGGCATCGTGTTTTTTCTCGGCATCGGGGCTTCCTCGTATTGGATGCGGTATTGTATATGGTTACCGCCGATATCGCAACGACGTTGCACCGTTTCGCGAGTGTGGGGGACGCACTTCGGCCTGAACGAACGCGTGGCGCACCAATACGTGTGGAATACCCCCACGGTTCGCTTTTGGCTGTGGTTGTTGCAACTGTCATCAGGGGCATGAGGCGTTGCTGCGAAAGAAAAAGAAGAGAGGAAATTACCCCAGTGCGACCCGACCTAGAACTGGAGCCCCGAGGAAAGCAACAGTAGTTGCTATGCTATGCCATGCCATGCTATGATATGTTATGCTATGATATGCTACGCGATGCTATGCTATGCGATGATATGTTAAAATATGGTATGTCATGCTGCGCTGTGCTAGGCTAAGCTATGCTATGCGATGCTAAGCTGCACTGTGCTATGATATGCGATGATATGCTATGGTATGCTATGCTATGCTATGCTGCGATATGCGATTCCATGCTATGCTATGCGTTGTTATGCTATGATATGTTTTGCTAATGCAGCGCTGCGCTATGCTAAGCTAAGCTAAGCTAAGATAAGCGAACCCTCTAGGCAGAGCCTTTTCTTTGCTTTGCATGTGTGTTTGCGTTGCGTTGCGTTGCGTTGCTTGTGTTTTGCGTTGCTGTCGCTGCTGTTGCTGTGCCTGTGCTGTGCTGCTATGCTATGCTATGCTGCGCTGTGCTATGCTGTGCTGCGCTATGCTGTGCTATACTTTGCTAGGTTGCGCTATGCTATGCTGGGCTATGATATGCTGTGTTGCGCTATGCTACGCTATGCTATTCCACGATAAAGTCCAGCGAAGCTAAGATGAAGGTACGTTAAATTAAGATAGACCTGAGCTAAGATGAAGCTAAGCTCAGCTAAGATGAAATAGCCTAAGCTAAGATGAGATAAGCAACGCTGAGGTAAGGGGACGTAACTGGGGGAACCGCGGGGCGGATACTGGGGGAACCGCCCGGGGCGGTGTGCACTGCCCGGCCCCTTTAAGAAAGAGAGTAAGAACCCTCTAGGCAGAGCCT